GGGCATAGAGGACCTACAATAATGTACAGTATTTGAAAAACAATGTGTTTTTTGAACATTAAAGCATGTCAACATATTCTGTTACACCAAATACACCAAATACCCTGGATCAGGACATCACTCCAAACTGGAGGAAAGAGCCAGGAGGAAACTGGTCAGAGAGGCTACCAAGAGATCTGCTGCCCTCCGCCAATGACAATGACTCAAAGCACACAGCAAAACTGAGCACACAGTGGTTGAAGCAGAAAAAGGTGTGTGTCTGCCTCTTGAATTAGGCCGTGGATTCGGGGAACAGCGGTTATTTTACACGCACTCCATTCCAAACTTCCTTTCAATTTTTGATTTCGTTTCTTAAATGCTATTGTTTAGTTTCAAAAGCATTTCTAAATTCAGTTCTTATTTCCAACAAATGAAAAATCAAGCCAAAATAACGAAGTGGTCAAAAAACTGTTAGCTACCACTATGCCCAATATCCAAACACAATCTATCCCAGCTTCCTATTACCCGCCCCTATATGGAGATGCATACGTCGCTAAAACCAGACAGGTGGACAATACTCAAACAAAACAATTCATGAATACAAATATAAATATACACATAATACAAATAATAAAAATGTAAATCATCACAAATAAACGGCTACAACAAGGTGAATGTCCTTGCATGGCCTAATGAGAGCCCAGACTTAAATCCCATTGAAAATCTGTGGAATGACTTGAAGAATGCAGTCCACAAATGATCACCATCAAATTTAACTGAACTTGAGCAGTTCTGCAAAGAAGAGTGGGCAAATATTGCAAATTTAGTAAAGACATTTCCCAACAGACTAAAGGCTGTAATTAAAGCAAAAGGTCTCCACAAGGGGATGATCCTTTTTCCAACTCAGTGATTCTGTTTTTTTATTTTTTATGACATGTTGGTGTTATATCTTACATGTTGGGTGTTATAAGTTGCACTGAGTAAATACAGCTGGATAAAAGCTGTAAAAGCTGGATAAAATAAAAACTGTATCCATCTTAATTTCAGGCTGCAAAGCAACAAAATGTGATTAATTTAAAGGGGGATGATTCTTTTCTATACCCACTGTAGATGTGTTTGACCTGCAGCCATTGTGTTTTGTTTTCTCCCTTTAACCAAACGTTTGTATGTCTGCCTGACAAAAGATTTCATGCAGTTTATTTTTAAGCTAGGTTCTATACCCACTGTATATAAATTGCACATTGCGTCAAAACTAAATTAAAACTTTATGATACATACACAAGTACCATGGTACAGTTGTAATAAAGATTGTGCTTCAATCCTATAATGTTTAGTACTAGCATGGTACTATAAAAATAAAAAAGCTTTAACAGAATAAAAATAGGGATGCGTAATATATTATTACCATATCGATTATCTGTCAATATTTTTTTTATTTTATTATCAGCCATTTCTCCGTTATATGCCATAACATGAAAACAATCATCATATTGAACGGAATTTCAATCTAAATGAAAGATAAAAAAAACAAAAAAAAAAACAGAAAAGACTAAACATGCTCACCTGCATCTCATCCAATTTGGACTGGATGTCTGGGGTGAAGACAGCAGGTCCACAAATTAACGGATCAAATGGTTCAGCTCCAAACAGGTCTATATCTACAGCACAACCAGACAAACTAGTAAATCATTTGTCATTTAGCAGACACTTGTATTGAATGTGCAATAGCTCATGGAGCACCACTTGCAAAAATTATATTTATATATACAAATATAAATGAATATATAATTAATGTATACATACAAAAAAACAACAACAACAATGTATCAGTAAAATTCTCCGTTCAACATCTATACTCTGGCTTCATTTGGTTCCAAATCAAATGGACCCTCTTATGGAGAAGCATATTACATTAGCAATTATGGATTTTGCCTTCAGGTGCTTACAAAAGTAACACATTCATCTAAGTGAGACAGCAGACGGAAGGAGCCCCCACCTCTGTCTTTTTTTGAAGGCAGGTATAGAGATGAGATGCCGTTACAGTTCAGCCGTCTTGTTATTGGAGATTCGGGGGTGAATGGAACCATATCAAATATGTCAGTAGAGGGCACTCTAGCTTGTATGCTTCCAGCCTAATAACATGGATATAAGAGTAATATGTGTGTTAAAGGCATCAAAACCAGCCCAACTGTATGATAAGCATTTAACTGTAAATTCAATTAAATGTATTCATTTTATCAAAGTTTTTTCCTTTTTTTTCTTTTAGTAAGAACAAGGTTGAAGCAGTGGTTCTCAAAAAGTGTGGAGACTTGCCTAGCTATTAAATCTGGTTACCCTTCACCTTTCAGATTTACCGCACTGATGTGAGAACCAATGCGATTTGTGTGAGTTTCTTCTTCTACTTCTCTTAGCTCACCTGTTATTATTTAAACCAAACAGCTGACGTAACCATTGACTTCCATAGTATGGTAAAAAATACCATGGACATCAATGGCTTCCGTCAGCTGTTTGGTTACTCCATACTACATTCTTCAAAATATCTTTTGTGCTCAAAAGAAGAAAGAAACTCATACAGGTTTGGAACAAGTGGAAGTTGAGTAAATGACAGAATTTTCATTTTTTTTGGGTGAATTATCCCTATAAGTGGCGTTCACTGAGTTGCCAGAATTAAATGGGTAAAGAAACAATTTTGACTTCAATTACGATCTGTTATTGAATTAACTTGAAATGAAGACTTGGAATAATGCACACGTATGGACTACTTTTATTGTACTTTTGTGTTACACAAATTTTTTGTTTATTGTGTTTCACAAATGAAAACTTAATACGGGGTTGGAGAAATATAAAAGTGAGTAAATGTCTAGATTTATTAAAATGATTATTTTAGTCCAACTATTACTGCAAAGCAGTATTACTTATTCATTTACTTAATATGTTCAATTAATTTTTAAAAAATTTTTGAATATAGGATTTTTGCAAGTTTTCAACTTTCAAAAGGAGGTGTCACCCAAAAAATTTGAGAACCACTAGCTAGACAATAGTTCACACATGGTTTGTTCTGGACAGAGATATCATATAGTTTCAGAAGACTAAATTATATATTGCATGAATCATACGGAGCACTTTTACGGTGCTTTTTTTTCTCATCTACTGTCATAGCACAGAAAAGTGTACTATGAAAAACTTTTTTGTTTCATGGAAGAAAAAGGCCATTCAGGTTGGGAAACAATGACAACAGAATTTTTTGGGGGGTGAACTATCCCTTTAAGTATGAAAAATTGTAATTGAATCACATGCAAAGTGCTCTGTGTTGTTTTTTTATGTACGGGACATTTACACGAGGTTGTGGCACGATGCAACCACTTGTGGGCTGTGAGTGGGTGGGCTTAGCAGGAGGCTGGGTGAGCAAGCTTGCTGATTGGCTGGAATCGGGTGAGCTGACAGGCGTTAGAGTGACAGAGGAGATCTCTAGGCTGGACAGTGATGTGACATCATCACCACACCAGGACAAGGCAGACGGCTTCTGCAAAATGCACGGCTCATTAGAGACATTAACATGCAGGTGCTGAAAAAGGGCACTGGGGGTTGGGGAGTGAGAGAGAAAGATTGGAATGGAGAAAAGGGGAAAAACAAATGGCGGGGTAGATAAAAGAGAAAAACAAACACATTTTGATGAACTGAAAGAGAGCAGAACCATTGAGATTGGCAGGAAACAGCAGCATTTGACTGGAATGATAAGCAAGTCTCATTTCCTACTGAAGGTTCTGGCGAGCAGCGAGAATCCATCAGCTGATCCTCCAGCTCCTTAAGCTTCTTCTTCAGTTTTGAGTTTTCCATCTCCAAATCCTGAATCTTTAATTAACATAAGCACATTGCACAAAAAGATTCACATTTTCATTTGTCAATCACATGAAAACATTTTGCATACGTTTTTGGGATACAGGACGCCCCCGCAGCCTGCTCACGAGATTATGAGCCAGTGAAATTCTGGTTACATCTATACTCGTATTTACATTTCAAAGGAAGCTGCATTTTAAGCACCATACAGTATAAATAATGAAAAGGAACATTTATGCAGACATTGTAATGTGGCATACAGTAAATGTATTTACACTGGAATCAGCTAAATCACTGGGGAGAGCTAAATATCTGATTCTTCTGCACAGCCGTCAAAAAGATTCAAAGCTATAAGCAAAGCAAAGTTTGTAGAACATTTATAGTAATAATTGTTGATATGGGCCTGTTGCACATGTAAGCTGTGCTTTTTATATTTTCAGTATTCACTAATGCCGTGCGGATTCACAGATTGACATTATCAAAGTTTGTAGTATGCAATATTGAATCTTGTTTGATGAAAACTATTTATTGACAACAACCCAAATAATACGTTTCTTCCCTTGTGTGCACCAGTCTACAAAATGTTTGCTCCCCATATCTCCCCAAGCACTGTCACATCCATATTTTCCACTATTTTGCTTATTTTTTTCTCAGTTCTATACAAATCATTCAAAAACAACCGCAACCTTCCTCCATGTTGTTGTTTGTTGACATATTTCCAAGAATCAACTCTCAAACTGATGGGTGTTTCTACAACTTTAGGCACTTTTATGTCTCAGGGGTCGATTTTTATAAAAACTAACAGCTTTTAACTTGAAGATGATATTAAAACAGTCTTGGAAACTTTTTATGGAAACTATGCTTTCATGATTTACTTTTGCCACTTTTTAAATAACTATACACACTGTTGGACACTGTTAGTGGACAGATTGAAAAAAATAGTGAAAAGTGTGTTTAGTGTGGGTAAAAGAAAGTTATTTTCTAAAATTCCACAGGGCCAAAAGTGCCCATAGTTGAAGAATCCCCCAGGTATGAGTGTGTTTGAGTGAGAATGTATTCTGGGAATGTTTATCTACATCTCGAACGTGTGAGCAATATTCCAAGAACATAATCTTACTCGTTTCTGAAGGTTTCCAATCTGTTTTCTCGTCTCTACATCTTTTCCACCAGACTCTAGGAACTTTTTGTAGGCGAGATCAAAGGCTTGTCCAATAGCAAGAGTGATCTCCTCTGCCTGGGTGAGATTTGCACACATTGCAATCATTAAGCAAACCAGGTTTCTGCCTATGTAACTTTAGATATTACAAGCTTATTTACTTACACATTTTTCACTGTCAAACACGTAACACAGGTGTTTCTTCGTCTCGGGTTCTGTGCAGATAAAGGTGAAGATCCTTTTATCAGTTTTGTCGTCTGCACAGAAGGACATTCTGTGAAGTTGGCAGTTATGCTGCATCTCCTGGAATAGGAAGGAGAGTTGAACTAAGATGAAAAGCTCACTGGTATGACTGACCTATTTTGAAGCAAAAAGCAACAAATCGAAAACAGCCTGGAGGAAAATTGTATTGCTCAGAGGTTTATATTTTTAAGTCTCTTTATAGCTCGGGAGAATTAAACTGTGTTCCCATTTATGTTTCAACAATTATGTTTATTAATTTTTTTTCAGAAGTTTCTCCAAAATTAACATGAATACATTTTTGACATGAGCCTTTACATGCATTTTACATGCATAAGAGGTGCTTATTTATATTGTTTTAAAAATTGGTAGGGATGGGGGAGCGAGAATTGTTATGAACTAATTACATAGAAACTTGAGGCCACAATAATTCTTGCTGACCAATTCATTTAATAACATCTAAAATAACATGTTGTTTTAAAGCAGTGGTCACCAACCTTTTTAGGCCCAAGATCCCTGACCTCGGCCTTTATGAAAGACAAGCTCTACCTATTGAAGAATTGATAGAAAAAGACATCAAGGAATGGTTCACCCAAAAATGAAAATTTGCTAAAAATATACTCACCCACAGGCTGTCCAAGATGTAGATGAGTTTGTTCCTTCATCATAACAGATTTGGATAAATTTACACAATTCACAATTTTCTCACCAATGGAACTTATGCAGTGAATGGGTGCCGTCAGAATTAGAGTCCAAACAACTGATAAAAACATCACAATAATTCACTTCATACGATATTTGATGGACTGGAGTTGTGTGGATTACTTGAGGATTATTGCAGTCTTATCAGATGTTTGGACTCTCATTCTGACGGCACCCATTCACTGCGGAGGATTCATTAGTGAGCAAGTCATTTAATGCTAAATTACTCCAAATCTGTTCCAATGAAGAAACAAACTCACCCACATTTTGAATGACCTGAGGATGAGTAAATTTTTCAGCAAACTGACATTTTTGGGTGAACTATTCTTTTAATAATGCATAATTGCAGATGCTTGTCAGTGTATGTATATCAAAAGCGGGGACGCATGCATTTTCATTTGTGATTTCACTGAAATGAGAAGCAATAGACTGGAGCATTTGTCTGTATGTAGTTCTGTGCACAAGAACATGATAACAGCCTCAACAAGCTTTCATCAAAACATTCAAAATAACGCATTCCAAGACTGCTACCCATTTTATGCACACAAACCAAATGAAACCCCTGTTTGACAAGTGTAGATGCTGAATTGAGCAGTTTCAAGATCTGATGGGGATATATTGTATGACTATATTAATGACTATATTAACTGGCTATAGTATTCACACTGGCCTAGTACATTTATTTCCACTTGGATTTAAGTGTGATCCCTCATCTATAAATTATATTTCATCCCTCAGCACCGTCAGTGAAGCTTATGACTATATTAACTGGCTATAGTATTCACACTGGCCTAGTACATTTATTTCCACTTGGATTTAAGTGTGATCCCTCATCTATAAATTATATTTCATGACAATCAAGTTTGTTATACATAATTCTCAATGACTGATTCCTGATATCCATTTAGTGTTTAATTTGTGAGAAATAATTTATATTTTATTAATTTCAAATAAATCTTTTTTTTTTTTTAATTAACATCCAATAAAAAAAAAAAAAATCTTTGATATGGACAAACACAGTGTGCACTTGAAAGGGACAAGTTTATAGGTTTATGAATTGTAAATTCATTACTGAATTGTAAATGATGATTGATACAGTATATTGATGGAAAAGTGTTTGTTTTACAGCTGATGTGATTTATGCATTCGCACTGTGTCTTCTCACTCATTCAAACTGACAAGCGTTACAGCACAACAAACTCAATGAAGTCTAATGAGGGATACCGCAATAAAATTTCAAACACAATTGCAAATTCACTTAGTGTTAGTCTTTCCCCACTGAGCATTAAATGCCCAGAAGCGATCGCCCTTGGTTATTACTGATTTCCCGTGCTTGTGCAGATACTGTGAGTTTATCTACAATAATACCTCACGTTACACATGACAACAGAAACTATTTCTCATGTGAGAAGATTCTGCTATTAAACAACCTGCCACCTTTGCTTTTGAAATGGAAAATAGGCATTCATGATTTTTCTAACAATTGCTGTTCAAAAACATTGGCTCTCTTTTCAGATCCTGACAGAGCTATTTTGCTATTTGGTTACTTTAGTTGCTGAATTAGTTAAATTATTTTAGTATTGGAAATAAATAATTCTGTCAGTTGTGCTAACGGCACTTAATTGGCATGACATTAAACAGTAAATGTTTGAAAGATAAGATAGCAAATGTAATTTTCTGCCAAATTTTATTTTTCTGTCAGAGCGGGTGTGAGGATGGTAGTGGGGTAGTACATTGGGATGAATAAATTACTGTGACTTTTCAAGTCTAAAGTAGGGTTGCAATACATGGAATCACATCAACAATATAGTTTTATATTTATTCATAAAGCACTTCCTGTGAAGAAAACCTACCTTGGTTTTAGGGTCCAATATCTTCACACCATATATAGAGATCTGAAGCTCCACTTTAGGAGTTTTTTGCCCCTCTGACTTCTTGATGTGCCTTTGAAACTAAGGAAGCAAAAGTGATTCAGCACATGCTGTGCAAATACATACTATCAAGGGAAAAGCAGAGAGAGCTGGAGGTGTTGCTGGAGAGCAGTAGAGCATCAGGTGAAATGAGGTGCTCAAACACGTCTCCAGAGCAATGCACTGACCTGCAGAAAGTCCAAAGCTGGACATAAATTGGGCGAAAGAAATATCGTCCAGGAAAAGGACATTTTTATTGTGCCCTTAATCTGTCCCCTAAAAATCCCACCGTGAATGAGTCACAGCTTTATTTCAGTCTCATAAACAGTTTTAGTTATAAGCAGAGTCCTGTGTATTGACTGTTTGGTTCAGTTATTAAATAAACACACAGATGTTTCCAAAAGATATTTACGTTTTCTAAAGGAAATGTGAGGGAGTTTGCCAATGTTAGGGTTGCCAGGGTTTTGCTCTGAATTTGCTAGGGCATTGCTACGTGGTTCATCAGCTGAAAAGACCCACTTAAAAGTCTCTAAGATATTCTTGGCCCTAAATATGTCTCAGGTCCCTCGTTCAGTGTAGGTCTATGGTATAAACAGGGTTAGTGTAGTATTTAGAATATTAATATCAGCAACAGTATTAATGATGATTGAAGACAAATGATCATGTAAAATATAACAATAAAATACAGAATATTCATTTATAATAATTAGACATGAATAAATTAAGAATCACTATTCAATTATTAATCATTTCATTATTTTTATCAGATTAATAATGATATAAATTATTGTTTTACCTACCAGCTTTTGCCTTGTGTTAACTGGCACTCACATACAATTGAAATGCAGCTTGAGCCTGTTATATGAACTTTGGAAGTGAACTTGGCCTTTTAAAATGTCTGTATATTTACATTTAATTATCACAGCCGTTTCTGCCCCATAAACAGGCGAGAAGAACCGTGAGCACGTTTTATAGCCCATAAATGTTCAGAATAGTGGAGTGCTGTAAACACACTACCTTCAGCTTCCTGACGGCCACACGGACCATGTCTGTCCCTTTGGGCTGCTCCACTTCTGTAATTCCCAGGAACTGCATGAACACACAGTAGACACAAACCACAAACCTTGAATAAAACATTTTATGTATGTATTTTGTATGTATTGGTGACTGGGCTGATTAGAATAGGTGTGTATATCATTTTGTACTGGCTGCTGGTGATAAAAACCGATGAAGGTTAGAGAAAGGGAGTTCTGGGAGCTCTCATAACACTCCACACTCACACACACACACACATGCGCGCGCATGCACGCACACACACACATGCACACACGCACACACAAATGCATGCATGCACGTACACACGTACACACACACACACACACACACACACACTCGCATGCACGCACGCACACACACACACACACATACACACTCAAGTGCATTTAGTACAACTTTAAACATCACTACATCCATCATAGCAACAGCTTCAGTGAAGCAGGCTATCTCTCACACTCTTAACGCACACACATCTCACATCCCAAAGTCAAAGAAATGGTGTACACAGTGGTACGCAGTGTGCATTTGTGCACTTGCTATTTAGGATGGCCCACAGGGTGCCTGAGTGTGTGTATATGTCCCCCCACTGTGTAGTAAATATAGTAGAAGCAGAAAGAACTACGTACAGGAACAAATAAGAAATATGTCTCAAACTCTACCTTTGCATTATACACAACATGACTTCTCACCAAGGATTCAGGTGTGTGCATACTGGGTTTATCTGGATCAAAAAAGAGAGAAAAATAAAAAGAATTTAGGTGTAATGGCAGATGACTGACATTTTCCATCAATCAAACATTAAATAAATCTAAGCTTGGAATTTTTCTAAATTAAAATTATAGTTACTGACTTAAAAATTGCCTGAACCTGTCACAATTTAATGCAGGCTTTGCATTTATATTAAATAATATTTAATAATACTTATTTACATTATTTATTAGTTATCATTTATCAGTTTTTATCAGTTGATCATTTATCATTTACATGCATTTAAGTTTATGCTGCTCCATGTGATTAAAAAGTCGTGACAGTGTATCTTTTCTGTGCTGCATTGCTGTCCAAATATGGCCTTAGTCATTTGACCTTTCATTTGTTAGATTTTTTTTGTAGTTGTCCCAAACTTTTTAATACACCATAGAGGCACCATAAATTAACTCTAGTTACACAGGAATTACAATCTCTGGAACCTTTAAAGTTCATTATTGCTTCTCCTGCACAGCCGACATGGCATCTTTACCTCAGAGACCCCTTAAAAACTCTCAACATCAACATAGGTCTTTTCCTCCCCCAATTTAAATGCTTTAAACATTAAACAGTAAGCACACCAAAGATTCAAAAACACAAAGAAAGCTTTTCCATGTTTTTCTTTCTAGTCATTTTTGAGCAAGGTGTGTAATGTGAGGATAATACACTGTGATGCAGTACTTGAGATCACAGCAACGCACGGCATGAATAAATTAAACTGATTACTCTTGATTTTATTTATGCCGCTGTTGTTGCATTTGTTGTCACTTTCAATTACTTTTCATGTGGTGATTAATCAGACCTCATCTTTTAATTAAATGTGTTCTTGTGGTTGTCAGTGTTAAATGTAGAGGTCCATGTGCATCTTGTTTAATTAGTTGAGGAGTTTTTAAACTGTTCAAGGAGTTCAGGGGCCCCCGGCGGCTGCAAGGGCGCACTAGGGGGTCCACAGAAAAGGTTACAAAAAATAGGGTAACACTTTCTTTTGATGGTTCCTTTCGAACATTCTGTTGACAATAAGTAATGTTGCACCTACATGTCTACTAACTCTCATCAGAGTATTAGTAGACCTACTAACTCTTTATTGTCATGGCCTCCCTACAGGCATTCTACTGACTATAAGTACACTGTAAAAAATGACCGTGAATTTAACGGTAAAAGACTAAAAATGCTACAGTAAAAACCTGTTAAATGGTTAACGGTAAATTCCCCTATTATATACGGTGAACAACGGTATTGGACATTACCATAAAACCTAAAACGTTGCTACCGTAGTTTTTACGGTAAAATTCCGGCAACCACAGCTGCCATTTTTTTACCGTAAATTTTACGGAATTTTTTTTACAGTGTAACTTTGCAAGTACATGTCAACTTATTCTAACCCTAACCCTACCAGTCTACTAATACTCTACTAATACTCTGATGAGAGTTAGTAGACATGTAGGTGCAACGTTACTTATAGTGAAGAGAATGTGTTAAAGGGACCATCAAAATAAAGTGCAACCAAAAATAGTGTAGTAAATGGTTACATTTTCCAAATTATTACATAGTAATAAATGAAAGTTAAAAAGTACAATTTACCTCTTTTACCTCTTTCTCAATATTGGTCAGAAATCATTAGGTAATAGGGTTGTAACGTTACACGTTTTTGTACCGAAATTGTTCGTTTTTCAGTTCGGCACGCATGTGTACCAAATGAACGCAGTGAAGTTTTTCACCACTGTACCAAAAACTGGAACGTGATAAGAAAAAAAAACCAAGGTACCAAACTGTTAGTTCACCATCACACCCCTTTGAGATAAATCACAAATTATTTTATTCTACCAATGGATGCAATTTTTTTAAGAGGTAGTAAATATTTTCCAGATGTTTTAAAGATGTTTTTTTTTCATAATATAAATGGATGTTTAAACTGCACATATCTAAAATATATTTAATTAAAGGGAATCATGATATTTGAGGGTAAATGTCATCAAAATGTCTGATGACATTTCATCAGACCCCCCCCCAAATACCTGGAGAAACTTGTTCATGTCATTATCACATTATATAGACTTAAAACACATCTGTTTAGCTGTGCATTTATTGAATGAGAACTGTGCTACGCCCGAATGATTGCACTGTATTTTATGTATCCTCATTATTTATTTATTTATTTATTCTTAACAGTTTTAATATGTTTTAAATACTATTTTAATCATTTAAAAATGTTTATTCTCAGCTTTTATTGATGTGATTTTATGTAAAGCACTTTGAATTATGATTGTGTATGAAATGTGCTATATAAATAAACTTGCCTTGCCTAGTGTACTGTGACTCGTGGAAGCTAGATTGGAACAGAAAATGAAATAATATGAGTTTGGTATGGTTTTGTCATGTTTTCCTGTCACATGTTCTCGCTGTCAGACTTTTGGACCTGTTTTGCCCCCGTTGTCCTTCCTGTGTTTCCTTATTTGGTCATGTTCCTGTCCTTGTTTAGTTTGATTATGTTCCATTGATGTCACCTGTGTTCCCCTGATTGCCCTGTGTTTAAAAGTCCTAGGCTGTGTCCGAAATCGCCCCCTATACCCTCATTCACTATTCCCTACATTAGGTCACTAATTCAGTTCACTAGAAGGAGTGAATGAAAATGAGTAGTGAATTCGGACACTGAGTGCACCGGAAGGAATAACGCTTTTGCATAGTTTGTGCTTGCTGTTTATTAATCATTTGAAACTAGCAAACTAGCAGCTCCAGTAGTAAGATTAAAGGATTTATCTTGAACTCTGTCACGGAAATTATGTATAAACCCTAATCAAACAATTTAATAATCAATTTACAATGAATTTATACCCGTGTTGTACATTATGCTGTACGCCATGGATGAGCGCTTTGTAAAAATGAACGGATTGATTATTCAGCTGCGGGGGCCATCTTCTGGCGAGATGCGGGACTTCATTCGGCGCGTGACTCTCACGGTGCATTATGGGCATTCTCTAGCCGTTGAGCGTGCACCAGTTGTACACTCGTTTTTGCAGTGCATTGTGGGATTGAATGAGTGCACTCGAGAACGTCCACTATGGTTTCGGACACCACTAAAAATGGCTGTTCCCTCAAATAGTGCCCTATTTAAGGGTAGGGGGCGATTTCGGACACAGTCCTAGTCTGTTCAGTTTGTGTTTGTCAGGTCTACTCGTTCTCTACGTGTGTTGGCTCAAGCTCCTATTGTGGATTATCTCCTATGTTTCCTTGATTAAAGACAGTTCTCGTTTACTCGTGCCTCCTGCGCGCTTCCTCGACAGCGTGACGTGACACTCGCAAGTTATATGCCGCTTATTACCGATTCCTTGAGGGGCTCTCTTTGTACTTCAGGGACCTTTGCGAATGCCTATATTAAATTTAGGGTGGGATAACCCTGATAAGACAGCAGCATTTTTTTTTCCTACCGGGTTGACTGACATTTTGTGCTTTATTTCCTATTGCCTGTGTAGGTGTTGATGAAAAGCTCCTCACTGTTCTTTTTTTTCTCCCTTGAAACCATTGTGGGTTTATGAATTGGCAAAAGGAGACCTCTATGGTCAGTGCATGCTGCCGTGATGTAGACTTGACTCAGCAGGGCGCAGCCTTAAAAAATTTTAGAGAAACATAAAAAAACAGTGGGAGAGAAAGAGAGGAAAACAGAATGAAAGATTAAGGAATGGAGAAGGAGACCAAGAGAGACAGCGAGTAAGAGAGATGGCCCTTAGAGTATAAGAAGTGCAATGCAGACAAAAAAAACAATAATATAATGAAGCTGACAAGCCGTCCAATCCTGTGCCAAAGAGGAGACAGCTCTCTCACTGTTTATTTGACACCTTTATAACACAGGCTCTTCAGCATTCATCGCCATGCAGGTGTGTACACACACACTCACACTTTAATCAGCTGAAATCTGATCAGCTCAACGGTACTGCACACCAATTAATGCTCGACACAGAGAGGACGAGTACTCAGATATTCCCTGCTGGAGTAATGTCATGAGGACACTTGAAAAACTCAACTGCTTATAGTTTGGGTGGCACAAATGTCTTCAAACAAAACTAGATTTTAACAGTTTCTCAAGAAGATGACAGTGCTTGCCTGAGCAAAACTTACTAGCACAGTTGACAAATTTCCCATTATGAATTCCTATAATGGAAATAGGAATTCAAAGGAATTAAAAAATTCTGGTTCTGATTTCAATTGCTCTTTGCAGTTCCAATTCTTTATTGGTTCCATTAAATTCTTGTAGTACTTTTAATAGAGAAACATTTGGCGGAAAAAATCCAAAAAGTATATTTTATACTTACTGCCCTCAGTAGGCTGCTGCCAAATGATGAGATTATCATCATATTTGAACAGGACAAACATAAAAGTTTTGGCAGTGACAAATTTTGTTTTGAAAAGTTTGCTTTTTCAGTATTTGTAGATTATTTTTCCACGTTTCTATGGTATACTGAAAAGTCCCTTGGTTGAAAAGCAACCCCAGACATGGATGGTCTCAGGATGCTTCACTGTTGGCACAACACAGGACTCATAAGTTTTAAAGGCTTTTATTGGCAAAAAAATGAGTGTTGACCCTTGTTCTTCATAATCTCTGCAATTCGCTCTGGCATGCTGGATATTAGCTTCTGGGCCCATCTTTGTGACATGGTGCTCCATCATGCGGGAAAATGCACAGATCACCAAATTGCTCATGGATCGTTGGAAGAAGTCGTCTTGCAGGATGTTTTGATACCATTCTTTATTCATGGCAGTGTTTTTGGGCAGAA